TAACAATGACCATGAACGTAAATTGAAATTTGTAGGCCGTTATAATAGACGAGCACGCACAGTAAGCTATTAAAGTATGTTTGTCCAGTGCTCGATAAACGTCCACATGCCAGTCGAACGAGCAATGTACGATGGTATTTATGCGCCGTAATTTTAATACGCGCATCCATTTTCTGCTAGAAGATGATCTTATTAGCATTGTTATCGCGACTGCAATCCTTTTTATATGTTATATCAATTACGATAACGTGGTAAACGTTCAAAAAGTATTATAGGAAAAAACTGCATGATTTAGTATTGATATTGCAACGTTTCTGAAGCACTGATAGGAATTGCTGTTATCAATAATGGGAGTATAAGCGTACTCGCATAAATATAAAATGCGCTCGAATATTATAAAACATGCATTTGCCACCATGCTCATTCTAATTATACACACGTTTTGTTACGCATATGTGCGTATCATTATTTTCAGTCGATAAATTATATTACATCAGAAATGCGAGATACATGGGTCTGTATCTGCGATATAATACTTGCGCGCGATATTAACTCGGGCAAAAATTTAATTTTACACGGTACGTATTAATAATCGCAATACTGTCTTCGCTTCTAAAATTATTTTCGAAAACTGATATTAATGTCATACAGAAATGCATAATAATAAATTAACAATTTTGCATAATAAATTAATTAACGAAATGATTGTAATTCCCCGCGGACGTTTTGATTTAAATGTCTAATTTTCTAAAATTTACATTTTATTTACACATTAAATGACGCGTTATTAATGACGCGGTGAAACGTTTTTATGAAAAACACTCTCAAAATTCGCGGGAGGACTTCCCGAATTAAGGATTATCGCCGAGCGCACAGTACAGCGTTGCAATAATAAACGCGGCATTACCAATATGGTTGTGCTCACAGTCGGCGAGTAATATGCGGTTATTTACCGTGATCCCTCATTAAATATTCAAATGCATCGAGCGACGTTGGCCGGGCGATACCCCGCGCGATGAGCGATCAGTGGCGCGTATAGAACCGTCGCACGAAAGCACTCGAAAACTTGCTCTCTCTCTCTCTCTCTCTCTCTCTCGTGGATGAAAGCACTCGAAAAGTACGCGCGGCACAAGCACATGAAATCACACGACAATGTAATATCGCCCTTCCTTGACAGGCGCGAAACTTAATCACGCGACCGGCGAGATTTTCTTCTTCCTCTCTTTTCTCTCCCTTTTTTTCTCTCTCCCTCCGACCATTTTCGACACGCGAAGTGCGGTGGTAATATTGTTACCGCGCCGTAAGATGTCGACCCCAAGGACCATGGTGATCGGTGGACCGTGGTTTCTCGGATTTTACAAGGCGCCTTTATCGCGCGACGCTCTCCACAAATCACCTGGAATCGCCAATTTAAGGAAGCGACGCGAAACAGCACCGAGTATTCGAATCTTCTCAGCTGCACGTACCGAGGAATGTAATCTGGCGAATGCGAATTCTCGCGGAAAGTGGCTCATAGGTTTCGGGCTTCTAAATCGCCTTCCCTCCTCGCTGTAATGGCTGTTCCCTGCGTTAACTCTAACTCTCCATGCTGTTAAAAATATTAAATGCTGGGAATGATAAAAGAGTCCATGTTAACAGCCCTACGAATTCTCTCACAAATAATGGTGGAAGATAATATCCTGATAAGGACAATCTTTAAACTGCTGCATGACCCAAATTAATAATAAACGAATTGCTTAATAAATGTTTGCTTATGTTTCTCATCACGTTTGTGTTCATTAAGCCGCTTCTATTGATCGTCATAACAATTAATGTGACCTCATTGAGACATTATGAGAGGGAGAGACGTAAACCTACATTCGATGTTAAATTAAAAATATATTAACCGACATTATTGATTGTGGATTTCGTCGCGAGAGACGCATAGACTGTTCCAGCGTGACTTGTTTAAAATCGCGTGAATTTCGTATTTTCAAAGTTCATCAGATTCACTGGAAAGCCCAGCATTTGCGGCGATTAATTTATTCCGCCTAGCTCGTGCACCATCAAAGGGGCTATAGCTTGTTATCGCGGCGAGATAATACATTTTTAACGTCGCCAACCGCCGTAACCTTGTTTCTCCCGTGGATGTCATTGCTGGCGAATGAACCCGTTCCTTTTTTCCATTACTATCGCGGATTTCATTTTTGTTATTACTCCTCGTTGAGCCGCGTTTAAGTCCGTTTACACTGTTGAAAATGGTCGGCCATTGTTTGCAATCTATTCGTTCCCTTCCTGTCCCGCGCTTCGGTCTCCTTCCTTCTTTCTCGATACCGCCATTATCGCGGTAAACGGAAGGGTTATATGTACCCTGCCATCCATGGCGTCCTTATGCGAAGTAGTATAGTCAACGTCTTCCACGATGGTCTCTTTATAAATATCCGATGATTGAACTTCAGTTTTAATCCGCTTTTTAAAGAATAATTATAAATTAAAAAGTTTTAGCATCTTTAATAAAAATATAAAAATTAATATTATTATAGTAGATATAATATGTATCAGTATATCTATTAGTATACATATATTAATACTATTTTAAAAACGTTTGGAAATCAAATAATGAAAAAATTACAAGATTATTTATTAAAGTTACAGGGTACATAAAATTTTTGTTCTAAAGTTGGGACGTTAACATTAATGAATTCATTATATATAATGCTATTGTGCTATCCTTTTTTAATACTTTTTTAAGATGAGAGTATGGTACATAATTTTCTGTGCCATTCAGTTAAATTATTACAATTTGTGTGTCGAATACAGTTACATTGATTATTATGATTTATTGTCACGATTATTTTTTTATTTTGCTGATGAACGCTGATCTGAATTCATATTAGGATTAGTATGGCGGCGATAGAATTATTCATGCGGTTATTGCACGAATGAGCATTAACATCTGATTGATCGGCGAAACCTATCATTACGCTAGAAATACGAAACTCCTCATCAGTTACCTTTCTCATAAATGTTTCTCTTGCAATGGCACGGTGCTGCGTTATCCTTGCCTGAAAGAATGACACGTGAAACGTGCCCGGCGTAACCAACTCGTCTGTGTTACTCTGCACATGAAAAATATCCGTACTGTTTTGAGTATAACGATATAGAACAACGATATAAATGTTTCATCAATGGCGCTTAACTTAGCAATGTGTTTTACCTCTTTCCCTCTATTTGTCTTTCGTTCTCCGTAAAATTTAAGCTATCAATAATAATCTGGTGTAACTGCTGAAATTTATTTTACAACCGTAAAATTCACCGCACAGATTTGTTATTCTCAAAAGCGCGCGATTGCAAACGCGTTCCTAAGCGTGCTAGTTGCGGTAACGGAAGCGAAATATACGATTATCATTAATGCATTCCCGAATACGAGCCCGTTCGAGCGTTTTCGAAAAACGCCAACCCACGCGACAACGAGCGCACTCGTGCCGCGGTAATTAATATTAATGCCGGGCTGCGTTTCGGCTGAGTCAGCGACAGGACGCACCACCAAGCTAACACGTGACGGCTCCGAGCCGTCTCGACGCACCGAGCGCGACGGGTACCAACACGGGGGAAGGGAAAGAATCGATAGTCATAAAGCACGCGAAAAACTACCTGCTCGCTCGACGAAGGTGGAACGCCCTCGTCTCCGGTTTCTGCATTTTTGTCGTAACACCTCTCCGCTTCTGTCTCTATCCCGACGGCATTGACTGGCCTCCTACACATCTGAACCAGCATCTTATAGATGCTGAAGATGACGAAGAAAGAGAAAGAAAAAGAGAAAGAGAAAGAGAGAGAAATAAAGAGAGCTTGAGGGAGAAGAGAAAATGCCCCGTGCACTCGAGGGTGAAATGCGCCCCGATAGCATTACATGTGGATTGTATAACCTTATACCGGAGAGTCACACCCCCCCCCTCCCCCTTTACACATAGATCCCTCCATAGTTTCTACCGTCTACGTCGAGGCGAGAACCGGGGGCGCAAGGCAGTCACGCCATGAGCCGGAAGTGACCCCTTCTCCGAATCCCGCGCCTCGGGCCCCACCGGGGGTCGTAAAGACAAAAATCGGGGCTCTTATCACCGGACAAATTTATCACCGTAAGTACCGTGAACGTGTGTGTGCGCGTGCTTGCGCGTGAACATATACGAGGGACATAAACGAGACGAGGAGGTGACTTTATCCGACGATTGTCCAGCCGCGGGCAACAATTAGCTTTCCTACGTCCCGGAGCCGCCATTGACGACCGGTAAAGGACGAGGATCGGAGGGAACGGAGATTATGCGAGCGAACCTGATTAAAAAAATGTTCTCGACCCGCCAGAATTATTAATAGATTTCTTATAGATCGTTTTCTCTTCCTGCAGAAATCTACGTATTTCCTCTGACAATAGCTGTCCATTAACTCCCGCTTTTTTTTTACAATGTCCACCGTCTCTAATCTGATTCTCTTTTCTCTTTATTGCTCTTTTTATTTCTCTTTTCATTTATTTCATGACATTGTAAGCCTTCGTCTGTCATTGTCGTTCTTCTTCTGTATTTTTTGTTTTTTTTTCTTTATATATAATATTTAATTATACTCTCTTATTATAATTGTGTAATTTTTTGTGATTTTATAGACATTTATAAAGCATCAATCTTTATTCATGCACTTCGTTAAAAAAGAAGTAAGTAAAAACTTCAAAAGATTCTTTGTAGATAAAATCGTTTCATATATATCAACGACATTTAAATCAAAATGGCTTGACAAAATGGTTTGGTAAGCCATTGGTTTTAATCGTCAATAGCTTTACTCGTCAATGAGATGATTAAGTAAAAGATGATAATAAGAGATTGATAAAGGATGATTAAAAAGGAGTTAATAAAGATTGAATGGCAATGGCTTGGTGAATAAAGCATGTTCGGAAGCAATTTCATTTGAAAAATTTTCTCGTCTTCCAGCTGGGGAGCTTTCGTTTTCAGATATGTAGATGGTGCCATTTAAATTCCGAGAAGAGCAAAGCGTGTGGCAATTCGTCAATGTCAAGGCAATGTGGCTGCCAGTATGCAGTCGTGCATGTACGTATCTTAGCGGCGTGTAACGAAACAGCGATATTGAGTTTTGAAGTAGTTTACCACACAAAAGAAAGTTTCTCAGATAGTGATAGAGCAAAGAGAATGAGAGAAAGAGGGAGAAAATAGAGAGAATATCGATGTATAATATATTGTTGCAGTTTATGAAAACCAATATAAGAGTACCAATTATTCATTCTCTTTACATCTTATATTTCGAAGATCTGACATCCAATCAAAAATATACAATTATATATATTCCGAAAAGTTCTCCGAGAAATTGTATTTGTATTTTTTTTTAAGATCAAGATCATTCAAATACTTTGATACACACGATCGAAAGCAATCATTAAAAAATAACTCGAATTTTTTTAGAAGATGAAAAATCTTTTCATCAAAGTTATTAATTTTCCTTTGAGACGAGTGAATCTAATTTACTAGATTTTCCTTATCTTCGCAGGCTTTTAATGGGAACTTTCCGTTATTTCGAGCAGACGGCGGAAGCTCCGACGCGAGCGTTAGCATGGAATTCACGTAGGAAGAGCTTTGGAAACTTATTCCCGCGGTACGTACGATTATTTCGTCGGTTCGTCGAAATAATCGTGCGGGAACCGTTGTTAACGATCGTTGTTCCATCTACTTCCATCCGTGGCGAAACGCGAGTCCAGACGTTAGTTTAAAGTCGCATCAGCTCCGAACTTCCTGCGGTCGGATGTCTAATTATGCGCTCGTTTCCGCGACGAATAAAGGAGAAATAATTCTATAGATATCGCGTTACTCCCATGGATACCCGTAATTAGAGAGAGCGAGGATCGTATCGGGGCGAGAACATATATTCGCGGCCCGCGCCGCAGTTTATATCCACGTCGAAAGGAAACGTGAGCGCCGTGGTTAATATCTCCCGCTACCTGTAATAACGCGAACGATCGGCATTTGTTTCTATCCTCATTCGCGCGATATTACCAGCGGTTATCTCTGCGCGCGAGCCGGACGAGTTTAGAAACTCCAGGGATCTAAACGGGACGATGGAGCCATACAGCGGTGTCTTAGAAATATAGTGTTATGTTTTTGTATGTTCAACGCGAGAGAGAGAGAGAGAGAGAGAGAGAGAGAGAGAGAGAGAGAGAGAAAAGCAGAAAAATAATTTTATTTACAAATTATTATTTGCGATTTACAGCTAGCTATTGATAAGAAAGAAAATAAATAAAAGGGACAAACAATTGCACATATCTGTCTGGCTATAAGTTTTTTTTACAATAGTCCGAGATTGCGCAAATCGCTTTGAATTTGCTATTCGGTATGCTTCCGACGTAACCGCGATATACAGTCGTGAAAAGTGCACTCGGGAATCGTGGACTTTTCATAGCTGAATCGCGCCCGGGAGAGCAGCGATTTTCGGAATAGCACGAAAGAGTGAAACGGGGGGAGGGGTGGGGGAGGGGAGGGAACGGAGAACGTGTATCGCGCCGCTCTCTGTTGTCCCCGGCGCGACAATTAAACTCGAGGATTACACTCGCGGACGAGAGTCCGCGTTACGTCGTATCGTTATAATGGAAACGTTAATGTCGAGCGTCGCTCTTCCAGTCACGTGAAGCTCATCTGAATGCGATAATGCCCGGGCCGACCGGGCCGGCCGACCATTGGCCCCTTACCCGTGTCCCCGGGCCTATACACTCCGAGGCTTTAATTCCGACTTCCGAGCGCGCCGAGGTGTGTGTATGTATATATATATAAGGAGAGCATCCACTTCGTGTAGCGTGACCAGATACGAGTCTTAACCCATTCGGACAGGTGGTACGGGATAAGATAAGGGGACTGTCAGGTACTTCTCTTTATTGGGATACAATCTACTTCGGTTAATCAAACGCGCGGTCTCGCGAAAGAAATGGACTTGTCATTGGCACGCGCTATCGAACGTGATCATCGCGCTGTAACATAAAACTCTGCCGACGTGAAATCCCTCGTTGAAACCATCGAGCGGATTAATCAGATGAAAACACTCGTGTTTTTTATATATCGATAGTTCGTGTGTATCTGGCCGATTCTGTAAACACTTCGACTTTAGGAAAAGATTACTCGCGCGGGCCCACCTCCTCTCGCGAGTGTTTCCTCGGAACGGAATCGAGTAGCATTTTCACCAGCAATTTAGCAATGTATTAATTGCTAGTGAAAATTACTATTTAATAGCCTTGCTTTATGAGGAATTAATGCACAAACTTTTGGTCAGCGGCTTAACTCTCGCTTCTCCGCCTCCGTTATATGGGAGCGTCATATTTCGCTCTCGGTCGACGTTAGCCAAACGCTTGAAGACGGAACAATCGCCGGCTGGAATAACTACGTAGCACATTCGGCAGCGACGGAAAATGGAATGCGCGTAAAGTTTGTTCGATGTGAACATACGACCGGGAAGAGTTAGCGCGCCTCTCTCGCGTGATAAGTAGAATAGTCTAAAACAACTACAACCGCGCACGGTGAAGCACTTATAACTTTTACCAGCAGGTCCTCAGGCGAATTATTGTGACAGAATGATAAGCGTTCAGATAATCGAATTATTCTGCGGAGCTAAACATTACTGTGTAGCGATGGTATCTTAGCGTGTCTTTTCGAATATCAATGTTATAACTAATTCATATCCATTCGTCATTTATGCATGAGCTCCAATTTTATATGTTTCATTATTTATTCACTTTGTCATTTATTTGCCAATTCACATTATTACTATAACATATGTTATTACGTTGAAATTGTAAAAATGTACCATGTTAAAATGTCAGCTCTTTTTCGATCGCGTTCTCATTCGAGATATTATCTTTTATATGCCGTTAAATAATGTCGATCTATCTTGCAGATTTAATGAGCAAAAAATACGTAAAAGCTGATAATTAATCATGTCTAACTACTGTAAGGATGCAATCACGTTTCATGAATTGGCAAACGTTTGCCGGAATCTAGTGTAGTGGAATACACGAACTGTTGGAAGCCGGGTCAATAGAAGTCGCGTTTAACGTCGCGAACGAATATAAAGGACTTCCACGGTTAATTCCTCCTTTATCCAAGCTGGAAAGCTTAACCGTCCGTTCTGGCGCAAAGGAGTTTGCGGTACTATATCGCCTAGAAGCTGAAAGCGACTAATTATTTTTTATTTCAACCGCCGCGCGGTCGCCAGACAAAGGCCCTATTGCTCGTCGCGCGAGCGCGACCATGGACAATTTTATACTCGATTCCTCGGTTACCTTTTCTCTCTCTCTCTCTCTCTCTCTCTCTCTCTCTGCTTGTGTATTTTTACTCTCGTTAATCTCGCGTTCCAGACAGAACTACTTTAGACTGATTTTCTTTTCCCGGTTTTTTCCGCCGATTCGTTTAAGAGACCGTCCGAAGCAATTTCTTCAAAATTAAATCTCCACACTCACATATACGATCGTAAAGTTATCCATATTATAGCTAAATAATGCTGCAGGAGCTATTTTCAGTTTTCCTTAAGGTATAGTCATCTCCATTAAATTTATCTCAGGACATTTGAAATTCATCATAGGATAAAAAATGTAGGAAGTTTTTATTTCCTTAAAACTGATGTACAGTCATATAAAAGGGAGGGATCTGTAGGAAACATTTAAAATAAAATTCTGATTATAGTTTTAAATATTTATCTACTTTACATGTAAAAAAGGATGGAGATTTAGTCTTATTAGGTCACATTAAAAGATCAGAAGATTGCAACGTGTATCTTTTATAGATGCGTATGCAATTTATGGAAGATGCATATGCATGTCCATCCGAGAGATACATATCTTAATCTCATGCATTCAATATTGAGATTCAAGATTCGAGATACTAATTCTCGTTAAGCGGAAAAAAAAATTGATGATGATGCGGAGAAAATTAACGGCGCTGTTTTGGCTGACGAGCGAATTTATGTCGGCCGACGCGAGCTGTCTCGTCAATTAGTTGCCAACAACTCGGGAATCAGGACTGTATTATACTTTTATATATATATATATATATATATATATATATATACGTGTAAGTCTGTCGCTCCGCAGGCACCGGATGACAATGATCGCGCGAGCAAGAGCGAAGACGAAGCGCCTGAATGCCGGGAGTCAGGGACAAAGCGACTATTACGGTGCGCGGAAAGTGCCGCTGAATTATTCAGGCTATTCTTCTGTTATGCACAGGCGGTAGAACAAAGAACTGTGATACATCAATATCTTGCAAGTGGAATAACTAATGTCGTTTTACATGCCGCGTAATTACATATTATATTGTATAGGCGCCGTCGGGAAATGGGGCAGTGGCGGCGCGCATCCATATATCGAGCCGCGAGATAACCACGTTGCAAACGCCAACGGTTTGCGTAGCAGTGATATAACGGAGTGAAAACAAGAGGGGAAACCGATCCAGCACATGTGCGCGAGAATTCGCCGAACGGAATTTTCCGAAATAAAGCCGGGGCTCCCCGGCGTAACTATGGTAATGACTCCGCGCAAAAATGGGCACGGGTAAAAGGGCACGAAAGGAAAAAGCGTTTGCACGCGATGAACCGGCATGACGACGGGCCGATAGCTCTGAAAAGCAGGGGCCTCGGGGCGGATCGCACGAAAACGATGACGCGCAGGCGAGTATCATCGATTCGACATCGTAACTCGTTTGCTCGAGTAACGGCGCAGTGCGGTAAACTCGCCGGGGAAACAACAAGCCCGTTTTGTTGAACTTGGCAGAAGTAGGCGAATTAGACGATCCTATCTTATCGTCGCTAGAACGCGATAACGATGATCGTCCACTCGGTTCCCTCACTGTCATACCCCAGTTATTATTCGATTCACCGAGGCGAGCTCGGCGATCACGCACTTGACTTCGCCCCATTAAGCAGTTTCTTGATATTTATAACAGCAAACGGAATGAATGATAGATGAAAATTTTATTAATTGAAGAATCAAAATTAAATGACAGAAAAACGCTAGAAATGATATTTTTATTATAATAAAAAACCAATAGACTTTTTGCTC